TAAATGCCTGGTCAGTGAGCAAATGTGGTCCAAAATCTTTTTACAAAAGACAGAGATGCTGCATTATGTGCCATTTGATAAGAAGGTAACTGGTTAAAAACTCACCAAGAGAGTTGCAGGCCCAGGAATAATAATTATTTACCTCCCGAGAGGTGCAGAATAGGTTTGGGGAGCTGGACGCACACGCATGCAGTCTGACGTGGTCAGACTGTTGCAGACTGCGGTGCCGTTCACTTCTGAGGAAGTAAACAGCGGCTGTTTTCAGATGGCCACAAGCCAACGTCTTGCTCATGCACGGAGCAGGGAGGCTTATTTTGATTGTAAAAGAAGGAAAGTGCAGATCAAAGTGAGCAGCCACGCTTAGGCTATAAATGGTGTCCTCGAACATTTCATAACCAAACATTCCAACATATTTAAACAGTGGAAACAAAGCATGTTGTTTTACAGAACAAATATTTCTTCTCGAGCATGTGATATACACAGCCTGGTAAGCTAGGGGAAAAACATTTAGCAGTCGCAGAAGAAAAAGCAGCAATGGTAGTGTAAATAGAAAAGCATCAAGGATGGGTTGCTCTTAACTTCTGCATCATAATCCAACGTTTCTAAAAAATGCCTGCCTGCCTTTTCCCAACCCTGCACCCTTCAGCTGGACCACTACTATAACGAGAGCTGAAATGCTTTCTGCATTGGAGATTTAAATCCAATAAAGAGCAGGATGTTTAAAACTGTAGCGCACGTCCCAAAGCAGTTACACTGGTGGGTGCTATAAAAGCTTCATTTAAAGCGTGTCTCTACACAGACTGCATTTTCAACTGACAGTTTCCTAGGCATGCAGCATTGGTGGAAAAGACAAGATACTCTACCTCCTCTGAGGAACAGGTCCGCTGCTGTCAGGAAAGCAACAGGGGAAATACAGATAGCAAATCGTTATCAATCTGCAGGAACTGTATAGGAATAGCATCAGTTCCTAATTACCCAGCTATTCCCACAAACTGGCAGAACATTTGAGTCTGGGCGGCCAACCTGCCATTGCTTTTAGCTAAGGAAAGATCGAATGCAGCCGATCGCTTCCCAGATGTCCCTACAAGTTAGCTGTCCAAATAGCGACTTCACTGTGTGGCGAGTTATCGATTAGGCAATGGAGAGATGCTCCATCCCCAATGTTCGTCAATACGAAACAACAGTCCTTTGCTTGGTTTCCCTCCCAGACTGAATCCCTGCCTTCTCACCACCTGCAAAGTGCCGGACCCAAAACTTCAATGAGCTGCGGACAAGGCTCAGAGTCCACAGGTCACAGAGCTGCCAGCAGCCCAACTCCCCAAAATGTATGGCTCTCCGAATACAGGAGAGGAGACAACCGGTTAAAATGTGAGGGCAGAAAATACATTTCTTCCACGCGCTGTAACAGGTCTCTGGAGCTCGCTGCTCCGAACTCCCGGCGGAGTCCCAAAAGGGCTCGAGGTGCATGCATTATCGCTATCACGTATTCGAGGGAGCAGGCCAGCAGCGTGCAGGCTGCACCGTGCACTTCACCTGCACACCTGCCGTGCTGCAGATCCTGCATGCAGGTAACAAACCCCGGTTACCTGCACGTTGCTTAGTGCTGGACGGCCTGGCTACCTTTACCCCATTACAAGACATCACCCTAAGAAACCCTCGCCGGACCACCCGCGCTCCGGCATCGCTCTTAGGCTACCGTCAGGAGCATTTAGGACCCGGGTCTTCCTTGCAGAGCTGCCAAGTGAAAGCGCGGAGGACGGTCTCCATCCAGGAGGAGCGTGCAGTGACTCCAGAGACGTCCTCAGCCTCATGAAGGGGTCTTGCTCAAAACATTTTCCTAACTTTTTTTTAAGTTGGTCTAGATCAAAGATATCCGCTTCGCCCGCAGAGCCGCGCGGGTGCCTCGGGAGGCGGCAGCAGGAGCAGGGGCTGCGGGCGGGGCAGACTCACCGCTCAGCAGCCTGGCCCCGCCGGCCCGGCCCCGGACACGG